CACTCAGCTGGTGGTCATTAGGCTCCTCTCCAGACTATAAAAAGACTGTTTGTGCACAGGCATCTTAAAGAAGTCAACGCATTGACTAAAAATTGGAGAACTTTGGTAACTAGCTTGGCAGGCTGGATTGCTGCCAAGGTTTGTCTGAGTTGCTCTCAAGGTCCTTATCTATTTGTTATTCTTGGCTTTCAGCCACCGAGGTTTTGGTTTCTTGCTATTAAAATACATTCCAGTTAAGCTTGTCTCGGCATTCGTTACTGGACGGAGAAGGGGGTCAGAACAGGAACCACATTTGTTCGGAAGGTAATAGCTTTCCGTGCACCTTCGGTGTTGAGTAATGCCGGCCACATGACCACAGAGACGTCTTCGGACAGTGCTGGCTCTTCGGCTTTGAAACGGAGATGAGCACTGGCCCCTAAAGTCGGGAATGACTAGCAAATATGTGCGAGGGGAACCTTTACCTATACCTAGCTGTACATTCCAGGCATGGATTTCATCCCATCCAGTTTCGGGAATGGGCAATAATGTCATACTTAATCAATTAAATTAATGAATTAAACTAATCAGTTAGCTTAATTGATTTTAAAGTTTAATTTTGAACTTTAATTAGGTAATTAATTAACTAATTTATTAAGCAATTAATCAGTTAAACAGCTTGTCTTTGGAAACCATGTGTGCTCTATCACTGGAGGTTTTTAAGAAGAGATTGGACAACCATTTGTCCAGAATGGTGTACAGCCGTGATGGCAAACCTATGGCACACATGCCGGAATGCATGCAGAGCCATCTCTCAAGCCATCGCCCATTGCTCTTACAGGTACTGGTGTGCCGGCCAGCTGGTCTTCACATGCACGGAAGCACTGGAAAGTGGAAGAGCATCCACCCACTGCGCATGCATGCCAGATGGCTGCTCTTCCAGTTTCTGACACACGCATGCACACCAATTACCTCGTCTTCCGGTTTCTGGAATGCATGTGTGTATGTGTGCACAAGGATCAGCTGGCCAGTGCACATGCTGGAAACCAGATCATCATCTTCCCAGCATGCGCATGCGCACCAGACAGTTGCTCTTCTGGTTTCTGGCCTGTGCCCATCCAGATGGTCTCATGTCAGCACTTGGTGCTGAAAAGTTCGCCATCACTGGTATACAGTCTCCTGCTTGAGCAGGGGGTTGAACTTGAAGACCTCCAAGGTCCCTTACAACTCAGTTATTCTGCTATTCTCCTTCCTTCCTTCCTTCCTTCCTTCCTTCCTTCCTTCCTTCCTTCCTTCCTTCCTTCCTTCCTTCCT